AGAAACGTTGTCATAACTTTTTAAAACTTCGACTATTGTATGTATGTATATCTTTATTGCCCTTTATGAAAAGGAGATACATGTATACAGTGTACAATGAAAATAATGCTGATATAACATTAATGTTAAATGAACATAGAATAAAAATATATACAATATATAAAACACACTTTATACGACTACGTTAGATGAGTGCTAACCATCTTCCCCAAGGTCGATGTAAGCATCTCATCTAATGAACCACAGACGATATAAGATGCTACCGCTACCTCATCGTCCAATTACAACCCTCAATGAGATAATTTATGCAGAGATCATAATTGAAAAAGTAAAAAAGGTTAGGTTAAGAAAGGTTAAGTATGTACATACAATTTTAATACACTTATCTCATTAGTTGAGTGCAAACCATCTTCCCCAAGGTCGATGTAAGCATCTCATCCACTGAACCACAGACGATATAAGATGCTACCGCTACCTCATCGTCCAATTACAACCCTTAATGAGATCATTTTGTGCAGAGATCATAATTAAAAAGTAAAAAAGGTTAAGTATGTACATACATTTTATACATTATATAAAACACTTATCTCATTAGTTGAGTGCAAACCATCTTCCCCAAGGTCGATGTAAGCATCTCATCCAATGAACCACAGACGATATAAGATGCTACCGCTACCTCATCGTCTAATTACAACCATTTGAGAGATCATTTGTTCAGAGATCACAATTGACAGTAGATATAGATTAAGTATGTACATATGGTTTATACCTTATGTATATAAAATATATAGATAGATATAAAATACTTGACGCATTAGTCAACAGATTTTAACCCATGGTTTGCATTAAAACGCATCCGAAATCATATAAGTCAGTTATGAGTTGCATTGCAAGCACGAAGCACGGAGGTGGTATTGCTCTTGCACGATAAGTGAAACCCCTCTCAAAAAATCTAAAGACCGGGGATCATTTCTAAAGTTAATCCCTAAAATGTTGTTAATATTCATCTCTATACCAAACTTTTGGCAGTGCTCATTCAGTTTACGTCTAAAGGGGGTATAACTATTTGCTGTGCACGTTAACATAAAATGGATGACATTTTCCTGTTGAAACGTATTACACATATAACATAATTTTGACTTGTTTTCTCCGCCTCGATATTTTGTTCCTAGAGTATGTTCGTTTGTCAGAAGTTTAACCATAATTTTGCAACCACCGAGGGCAACAGGGAACTTTCTGGCAACACACCACCATATATTTGGACTCAAAGACCTAAAATCATTCAACCTAAATAGTTCAAGACCAGTATACATAATTGATCTAACAAACGTCCTCTGTATTTGTGCTGTCGAAAGTTCTGTAAAAACAATTTTCTTCCACCTTTGTTTGGTGATTCGAGTGTTACAGTATAGCATATCGAGAATGTATTTATCCAAGTTGTATTTTATAGCACATATGAGCATGTTACGGATAGGAGAAAACACATCAAAATTTGTTTTCATATACGACAATTTTATCAACCGTATCGTGAATATGTGTTTGTAAATATTTGAGCAACGGAGTTGTAAAATACTAAAGAAAAACATCATTCGGAGGAAATCTATGTAAAAGTCTATATCAAGTAACCCAAGAGGAAATGTTGAGACTGGATTGCTAGCAGATTGGGAAAGGGATTGAATCCTCCGTCCAATGCCTCTCTGTACTATGTTTAATTGTTCAATATCTTTTTGATGATAATTGATTACCGGAGCACCGTATGTCATACAGGGTATGGAATAAGTTTTGTATATCTGACATGCTGAAGTGGGAACAAGGCCTCCGCATTTACTTCCAATTCCCAGAAGGGCATTAAACTGAGATTTTCCTTTTTTGCATTTATCATTTACATAATTACTGATGTCATTATCTACAGACAGTGGTATACCAACGTGTTTAGCATAATTAGATTTTTCGATAGGTACACCTCCAATGTTTAGCTTTTGAGTGGCTCCCAATTCGATTTTACTGTTAAAAACAAGATATGTGCACTTTTGTGGATGAACTTCATATCTCCATTGATTGCTATGTTTAGTAAGTGCGTCCAATAGGACTTGCATATTTTGAAATGAGTTTGATAGGATACACATGTCATCAGCGTAGCATGGACTGACACAGCTGGTGTCTCCTATGGTGGACCCGATACTTAGTTTAGTCATGGTTTCAATTATGTCAGACATGTATAATTGATAGAAGAGCATTGACAGCACGCCACCTTGATGTACACCTTGGAGAATAGGAAATGAATTTGAGCGCGCACCACCTACTAGAACTGCGCACCTATAGTGTTTATATAAATTGTACAATATGTTCCAAAGTTTTCCAACAACGCCACTTTTGTGGAGCTTAAAAAATAGACCATCTATCCACACAGAGTCGAAGGCTTTGCGAATGTCTGTTATTGTAATGACTACCATTTTACCCTGTTCGACATTATCTGAAATAGTCTCCTGCACCAATAAGGAAGTGTGAACAGATGAACATTTTTCAACCGATGCCCCTTGTAACTTTGGTATCATTTTGTAGATCGGAACTTTCAAGTAAGTTAATAATATATTGTCAAAGAGTTTACGAAACATTGTCATGAGGGTTATTCCTCTAGAATTATCTTTTATGAGAGGATCTTTGCCACTTTTTGTGAGAGGGATCATTACGCCTACACAGAAATTATTTGGGATGTGCTCTGATTGAATAATTGAATTAAATAAGAGAGCAATGGATTCATACATTTTGCTTCCGGCATATTTTAAATGTTCAGCACTGATTTGGTCATAGCCACAAGCACGCTTACAGTGAAGTGCTTTAACTGCACTGGTGACATCTTCATTGCTAATGCTTACTGCCATACCATCAATTTTGTCATCCTCGTTACCTTTAATAATTGTTCTGATTTTGTTCTCAATGGTGGTTTTAAACTCAGAATCGAAATTTGGCTTATTAAGTGGGGTGGCAAGTTTCTCAAAATGACATTTCCATTGATTTCTTATCTCGTCGGCGTCTGTTATAAGTATGCCATCGTCTGACAAAATAGGACTTACAGATCTCTTTGATGTTCTGCGATGTTTATTAACGAGGTACCAATAGAACCGTTGGTCAGTTTGTTCCGATGTATAGAGTTTTTCTAGTTCCTGTTTCTCGTACTCAATTTGGGCTGCGTGATAGGTTTTGGAGAATAACTTTTTTGAATCTTTATATTGACTACGCGCTGGATCGGATATATCACGTGACCTACCCTGAGACACCCATACACGCCATTTTGTCTTTTTATCTTTTGCTAAGACAGTTAAAGTTGAATTCCAGAACGGCTTTACATATTTTAAAAATCTCTTTTTTGGTATATGGGCGTTAGAGGTGAGTGTCCAAATATCTAGTAATTTATCTAAAAAATACTCAATCTCATTGCCATTCAGAGACCTTTTGGACATGATAGAATGTAGCTCGGCTACAATATCATTACATTGTAAGTTAATTGAACTAGTGTATGATTCCAAGATATCGTCATTGCTGAGCTTATCCCACGCATGTCCTATAGGCGCTTGTATACTCGACCGTCTGTTTATCTTAACATCAAAATTTAAAATCGTTAAAATCGGTAGATGATCTGATCTGATGACTATTGGAACAGACTTCACTTCTCGGCTTTTGGTATTTTAGTTGTACACAAACTTAGCAGGTCATAGGTTAGAGCTAACACAAAGTTCTAAAAAGCAAGCTCTTTTGCTGTGTAAGAACCCCTATCTTACTGAAATTGAAAATAGATTCTAGCAATCCTATCCCACATGAATCTAGGTTATTGAGACTCAATCAACTTGAGTTCTTCTGAGAAAATGAGGATTTTAGCAAGGGTTTATGCATGTCATCATGGAGATAGATACAAAATCCTCATCATCTGAAGAACTTAAGTCTCAACAAGTAGATAATATTTGGGATAGTATTGGCAAGTAAGAATAGGGGTTCTTAAACAGGACATGCTTACTGAGGTCTTGAAAATTTAGCTATATTAGTGCCGTTCGTATTTAACCTTTTTTCACCAGTTTTAGACATTTAATCCAAGGCCCTTACGGAATGGCTAATCCTCGAGGATATGAATGTGTGGCATAATATGGAATGTGGTGAATGCCACATATGATATGAATATTGGGAAATGGGTCCCTTATAAGGAATTATGATGGTCTAGTAAGAAACTGATAGAATTAGAATGTGTTTTTATTTTATTTTAATCTACTCTCTGTAGTGTATGGAATATATGTTGGATGGCGTTGCAATAACAAAAATATATGAAAACCGTGCATTTTTTATATTTATAGTTAGTTTAGTTTAGTTTAAAATAGTTTATTTTTGTGTCACTGATATTACAATATACATATAAAATACATAATAAAAACAACATTTTGTAACATCACCAGCCGGTGCCGACTTATGAGACACAGTATACATTATATCTGAGTGTCACCCATTACTACCCCCAATGGGCAGCTTGGGACAACATTCAGACAGAGACATATATCTCTGGTAAAGATTTATACATTAAAACCAATGATATAAATTCACAACTCTGATTGATCAGTTTGGCAAGTTCAACCTTGATTTCAGAGTGCAAGATAATCTAGGCATGATGGGAATGGAATAACTATTGTATTGTCTTCATATTCCTGGCCTATCCTTGATGACTGCCCATTCCCAAATTAGTTAAATGCAAATGCTGGTTTTCATCTTGATTTACAAGAGTTTTACAAGGTTTCAGTTGTTTGAAGATTTGGAATGACATTGGAAATCGAATTGGACTTCCTGACTTCATCGTGGATAACCATGAATCATGGCAATATATTGTAAGCCAAGAGATGCGATTAGAAGTGACATAGACGGATTTTATACAGGTAAATGAAATACATGACCCGTACAATTTCAATATTCATCCGCTTGGCTGGTTCAGTAGTCAACCAAGCCTATCCACAGGGTCTAGTCATCAGTTAACGCTGGACTTATTACCAATCCGAACATGAACTGCAAAAACAATTTTACAAAAGGATGATTACGAAACGATCAAACTATGGAATTAAATCACAATTAAACTGGAGTGCCGAAACCGAAAATTAATTACCAGCTTATCGGATTAATTATATATTACATATTTATAATGGATTTAAAAAGATCTCAGGAACATGTACACAATTTGCTCAAACATGATGTAAGTACCGGAACATTGAAGTATAATTTGGGTTTATAATTAAAAAGGGCTAATTAAACATAAATAGCTGTAAATAAATATATGTAAATTATACAACTTAGCTTAGACCTGGATGAAAACCTTCTTTTCCGCAATAATTGAAGCTGGAAAAATAAAGTCGTTCATGTGAAATATTAGAATGATTTAATAATTATATATTATTTGTTTTTCAAAATATGTTGCATCTAAGCTCAAATTTGGAACTTGTTCTGTAAACGCAGAAGATTCAAGATCTGATATTTACAGAAAACGGAGTTAATGTTCAATCTTTTGATTATACAAGTTGCATATCAAAACTTATTGTATGGCTACTGCTTTGACGGACATTCAAGTTCAAGTAAAATAAAAATCGAGATATTTTTTTCTAAAAATCGAGATTGTTTGAAAAAATCGTGGTAAAAAGCATCTTTTTCTAGAAAATCGGGATTTCTTTAAAAAATAATCGGAACAAGATTTACTTTAATAGGAACGAAGGGTTCCAATGTACCCGAAAGATATAATTTTTTTGTTTTATTTTGTAAATCGTAAGTGTGTCTATTCAAAGAATTTTGATGTTCACATTGCCATCTCTTGCCCGAATATTTATTTGAGTGGTTACACCCCCCTCCCGGGGGTAACCGGACGACTCATCCCTGGACAACTCATCCCCTGGACAACTCATCCCCTAGACAACTCATCCCCTGGACAACTCATCCCCTGGACAACTCATCCCCTAGACAACTCATCCCCTGGACAACTCATCCCCTGGACAACTCATCTCCTGGACAACTCATCCCCTGGACAACTCATCCCCTGGACAACTCATCTCCTGGACAACTCATACCCTGGACAACTCATCCCCTGGACAACTCATCCTTTGGCATATATTATTCAAATGATATTTAAATGTTTTGGTTATCATTATGATCAGTTTTAAGTTTCAAAAACATATATTACATGAACACTGGTACTAAACTCGATAACATTGAAAACGGATCGTTTCGGTAGCAAAATGTCAGAGCCTTAAGGGTACGATTTTTCTTTTTTCCTTATATCACCGGTTGAAGGCAGAATGCCAACAACATTTTTATCACAAACGTGTGTCAGGATGTAGATGTTTGCAAACGAATACATGTAGTTCAGATCTACAGAAGACAACACGATCGTCAATTTAATACCTCACTTTTGTTACGTAAATGGAACTTCAATAATGGTTAAGATCTGCTCTCTAACTCCTTCCATTTACATAACAATATTGAGGTATTAAAGCGACGATTCTGTTGTCTTTACTATTTGTTCACAAACACGTATATTTTCTTAAATACAGGGTGGTCCGAAAAAGGTGAACCCCTGCAACCGGTTATATTTTCCTTGGTAACTGGTCAACTCGTACCCAAGACAAGTCGTACCCAAGACAACTCGTACCCAAGACATCTCGTACCCAAGACAACTCGTACCCAAGTATATATTTTGTTTTGAATCAAGCGTTGGACTGGGAATGTGAATAGATATACATATTATAATTGTAACATACTGTTCAGAATAGTTTAAAGTTTGAAGAAGAATTTTCGGAAGAAATTGATTTAATTTTGTGACATTTTGAGCTGAGTGTCAATTTATATTGACTATTATTTTATATTGGTCACAAATTCAGGATGTTTGAGTGAAGAGACATATGTTTATTCCACATATTCATAATATCATTTTTCAAAATATTGTATGTTTATGAGTGTTTGGAACAAGTGTCAGATCTCATGTTGTAATTATATATATTTACATATATGTTTGACAAAATAATGTTGAGAACAAGCGCTTCAAGCACTTCTTTTATTTAATAAAAAATGCTTTACTGATCCATTGAGAAAAAAATTCTTCTAAATTCAAAAAAATATTGAGGATTATTTGATTCACATTATAACATGAAAGCATTACAAACTCGATTTTTTCCCTAATATGCACCATAATACTGAAAATAATCTTGGGTACGAGTTGTCTTGGGTACCAGTTGTCTTGGGTACGAGTTGTCTTGGGTACCAGTTGTCTTGGGTACGAGTTGTCTTGGGTTCGAGTTGACTAGGAAGCTTTTCCTTAATACATGCATGAATTTGCTCATATCATCACATCTTGTAGAGAAAGGTTTAAAAAAAATTGTTGACACCATAGTTTATTTTATTCTCAGTCTTGAAATTCGAAGAAATTACAAGACTTAAACAAACATGCCTCAAATTAGATGTTGTGCAAAATTTTACCAATGTGATTGACGGATATTGTTGATACACATTAGATGATCTTAAAAAAGCTTTCAGTGAGAGATAAGTTAAAACCCTACCATATGGCAAATGGGACACTATTTGAGCAGAAAACACATTTCACACTTTTATTGACCATTTTGAAGCTGTTTTAACCATTCAACAGTTTAGAGGCATGTTACCTACACAAACGGGTAGAGGTCAGGGGCAAAGTTACCCTTTGTGACCCAAAATCTGAGGAGCCCTTCATAAAAAATCTTACAAAAATCAAAAGGAAATCTAATATTCAGTGTTTTGAGCCATATTTCATTAGAATTGGTCCATGATTAATGAAGATATTTTAAGACCATTTAGGGTTATGTTGCGATTTCACTGGAAGATGTTCTCGTCTTTGGAAACATTGAACATTTCTTTTGATCACAATAACTTTGCAACTAACAGAGGTAGGATGCTTATTTTTACATCATATTGTGTGGGATCCAAAACCAAACAAAGTCAGAAAACATTGGGTTTCCCAGACTCCGGCTTAAAAGATTTCCATGGGAAGATTGTTGAAGGATTGAAGAATCGCAGATACTGAAGTTTACATTTTACCAATTTTCAGTGATGTTGCAGGTAATAAGGGAAGTATATCCGGTTGCAAGGGTTCACTTTTTTGGGCCAACCTGTATATGATACTGACACATGATTGTGATGAAAATGTAATCATGTTAGTCTCAGCTACAACACATGAAATAAGGCAAAGAGAAAAATCGTACATTCAAGAATATTTTGTTACCGAAGCGATTTGATTCGGTAAAAAGCATAATCGAGTGGAGTACAAGTAAACAAAGACTTTCTGGAGGGGCAATCTGGAATTTTTTTAAAAAACTATTATATTTTCAAGGAAATAATCAACCAATTAATCTGTAATTTGTTTTGTAAATATTAACCTTTCATTTTTCTTTTAATACACAATTTCCCTATTATATTAACATTGTTTGTTGTTCACAGTTCAAATATTCTTTAACATTATTTATAGATGAAGTTACTGAAGTTCATGTTTCAAAATTATGCAGAGAGAAAACTTCATTTTTTGTCTTGAAATATTAATGATATAAGGACAAAAGATGAAAGTTTTAATGGCACCGTTTGACTGTTTGACGGTTTTATTTGTGTCAATACAGTGAAAAATAATATTTAGAATGATCCAAGGTGTATTCATTAAATATTTCTTTTCCACACTTTACAATTTGGCTTCGTGTGATAATGGATGAGTTGTCCAGGGGATGAGTTGTCTTGGGGATGAGATGTCCAGGGGATGAGTTGTCCAGTGGATGAGATGTACAGGGGATGAATTGTCTAGGGGATGAGTTGTCCGTAAGCCCTCCCAGGATGCACCCCTATTAGAGGAAATATCTTTTATTTCTTCAGTATCATTTATATTTTTATTTCTGTACATGACAAACATAGAAATAACATAAGTTAATTATTTTAAGAAAGATTAATGCAGATAGCTCTTATGAAACTTGACTTGACTTGAAATGGGTACCTCAAGGGACAACATTATGAGCTGTTTTCATACAATATTTGATATACTTATAGCGTTTTCAATAGTCAATGACAGGTGGTGATAAAATCTATGTGAAGAGCTTGGGAGTGGACCTAGTGATCCTGGAAGAATTGAGGTCTCTACCACGCGGTAGTATCTCTTCGGGACGTATCGAAACCACTCCGTCCCGAAAAACCGTTAATTTGAATTTAAAACCTACCCCAGTGTTTGAAAATCAAGGATTGTGAGTCTCACACTTCACCGTTTTTCTTCAAACTTGTTCCGTACAAAGCTTCACAGAAATACCTTTCAGTCGATACATTGTTTTCGTGTACAAAGTACCTCGTTTTAGCGGCGTTTTGGTCCCCAGCTGTGAGATAAAGCAAATTTTCATAACTTTCAACTGTAAGTCAAGTTATCTCGCCAGTCTTTTACCCATTCTCGCCCATAATCTCAGAATGGACTCCCATTACAACCTTCCATCGCTACGTCTTGATTTTTGGGCATCAAACGCAGCAGTTTCTAAATCATCCACACATCTCTTCAAATTTGACCAATACGTCCCGTCATCTTCCACTACGCCCCGCCGAGTCTATCACTATACACGTAGAGTTGCATTCTAAAACAATTTGTCCATCGATGTGTGCGTTTGTAGGTTGCCATTGTCGATTCTAAATACCAATCGGATTGTGTTTTAAGATTTACCCATTCTTGTCCATTTTCAATATACCTATAATAGGGTGGTCCAAAATCTCCCTAAAATTTCGATTTCCCGATATTGCAATATAAATGTAAAAAATTGGAGTTTATCAGAAAATCCCATATTGAAAAACTTGAAAACCTGTGTCGTAATTTTAAAAACATGAATGACCACCAAAAGACAATTTTTCTATTGACGAGTGAGGGGATCATATTAAAAGAATCTGCTGACATGATAAAGTATCTAATGATGGGTAGAGACAGGATTCTTATATCAAAGTAACATTTTATATGTCATTTGAAGAATGTAATCCTATTTTCTTTACTTTATTGCCTATATTTACTGTTATTGAAAATTGTATATTGGATGTACGTTTGGCCCTAAAAGGGCATCAGTACTAATAAATCCTATTATTCTATATAAAGATTTTAATTACTGAACAATTGAAAATATTTTTAAGAAACGTTTAAAGTGCCCTATCCTTGAAAAAATGTTAAAATGC